TCGTACTCCGTCGCAGCCACCTCCAGCTCATGGTGGGTCCTGACGGCCACCCGGCCCTGGCGCAGCAAGGACTGGGGACAAGCAAGGACAGGCGAGGGGTGAGGAGGTACCAGGGACGTCAGGCCTGGGGGGTTAAGGGGTCTGGGTACGGATGTCTCTGGATGTCCTAGGTCTGGGGCTTAGCCCTAGGATACTGCAGGAGTTCCAGGGAAGGGGAAGAAACTTAACGTTTTGCCATCACTTTCAAGGCAAAGATGGCAAATCTCACAATTATAGAATCATAGAATCATTAAGGTTGGAAAAGACCTCTAAGATCATCAAGTCCAACTGTCAGCCCAACACCACCACACCTGCTAAACCGTATCTACACTTTTACTGAAGCCCTCCAGGGTTGGCGACTCCACCACTTCCCTGGGCCGCCTGTTCCAGTGCTTGACCACTCCTTCAGTAAAGAAATTTTTCCTAACATCCAATCTGAACCTGCCCTGATGCAACCTGAGGCCATTCATCAGGGGCCTGTCAGGCTGACGTGGGTCTCAGCTACACAGAAGGGCTGACAGCAGCTCAATTACTAAAGATGCGAGGGTGATGCAACAGCATCTCAACACGGGACCAGAGGAAAAGTCAGGCTCTTCCTTAACCTCCTGCACACTAAGCAAGAGGGGGGTCTCCTTCCTCATTACAGCCCTGAGAGCGTAAGGGGAAAGACCTCCAGTTTAACCGATACCTCCAGTTTAACGGCAGCGGACCCAACATGGAGCAGCGAGTCTCCGTCCCAGACGTCAATCTGGAGGCTGTGCTCGGCCAGGTACCGCACGAACCAGCGCTGCTCCCCGGGGCGCAGGAAAGCGGGGTCCACCATGTACTTCAGCTGCAAGCCCGGTGGTCCTGCCAGACACGCAGCATTGTCATGGAAATGGAGCTCCTGACAGCACAGGGACCTTCTTCTGCGCCAGAGAAGTCTGCCTGCTCACATATCCATTCTCCCCCACTTAATGAACCCGTTGGTCAATTAGTAAGGTCCAAGGTCCCCCAGGATTGGCATCCTCCCACAGAAACACTCGGTCTGCATGGACCCCCCTCTCATTTCCATTAGCAGCTCCACGTGGAGCAGGAGCTTCATTAGCCACAAGTGCTTGGTGTCCCTTGGGAGCAGAATTTAATAAGAGACAGGGAAAAAAACCCACAAAGAAAAGCATGAAGCCAGGAGGATCAGAGCCGGGCACTCGCGCTGACACACTGCCTTTCTTTTCAAAGGTGCTTGCCAGCAGCCTCGATGTGCACATCACCCCACCACCACTTCCCCGTGTTTCACTTCAAATGCTGGGCATTTTGAACCTCTCTCATGACGTGCCACGCTAACTGGCAGAGGTTTGCTATTCAAGCAGCCACTGGCCTGTTCCTCAGCCTGGAGGCAAGCCCAGATCCGACCGACGGAATAGGAGCAGGTGCACAAGGATGCCAAAACCAGAGCTCACCAGTGCCGAGAGTCCCGTCCTTGTTCACCCGGCCAAGGAGCTGCAGCGGCAGCGCCGGCCCGGC